GACAAGTGCGGGGGGGGGGGGGGAGGAGCAAGGGCGCTGTGGCTCTTGTGATTGGCCGTCCACGGAAGTGGTGTGTCAAAGAGCGGCCAATTCCACGCGAGCTCCGGCGGCAGGCCCCGCCCCCCTGACCTCACGTGGCCCCGCATGAGGTTGCTACTTGCCTGCTCAGAGACTGAGCACTGGGAGTTCTGCCCAGCTCAGCACTTGGTTATGCTGTGGAAGCAGGAAGGAACTGGCCCGTAAGTACTTAGCTCCTGGCTGAGCAAAGGCTAGACTAAACAGGGCTGGGATGCGCAACCCAAGGCTCCTCCTACCCCCAGGCACCCGAGCTACGGAGCCCTGCACTAACGGATCCCGGGTCATCGCTTCATTTCCTTCCCACTCCGAGCATCTGCATCGGCTTCCAGAACCCCAGATGTGCCACGAGGTATCAATGAACGCATCCAGCCCGAATCCACTTAGCATTCCCTGCTTGGTATTCTGTTAACCTCCCTCTTGTGGGGAAATGGGACCAGGAAGCAAGGTGATGTTGGGAAAGTCATCCCCCTTCTCTGGGCCTCAGTTTCCTAATCTGGAAAATGTGTGGGCTGAACGTGTACACCCAAGTCTCCACAGCTGCCTCCCGGGGCCAGCTTGCCATCCTAACTTCCTGATGTGTCTCTCTGTGCTTCCACTCGTGGCCCCCTTCAATCCATTACCAATGCAGCCACCAGGGGACCCTAAAACACATATCAGATCTCCTTGTCTTGAAACCCTCCCATCCCACTTTAAATAAAATTCAAACCCCTTACTGTGATGCCAAAGGCCCCTACCTAGCTAACCAAGTCTCAGCTCCTGCCTCCCCCCGCCCCCACTCCCTCTGTTCCAGCCACACCAGCTTTCTTGCACGTTCCATAAACATGCCAAGCTTGTACCTGCCTCAGGTCCTACCCCCTAGCTGAGATGTTTTCCCTCCGCTTTTTGCCTGCTTAAGTTCTGGTCCTGCCTGCGGTCTTGGCTCAAGGTCACTTCCTTGGGTCTAAACCCCCCTTGAAGAGTGTTCCCCCATCCATTCCTGCCAGGCTAATTCAAGTTCTGTTGCTATATACACTTTCACTGGACACTGTTCTTTTCTTTCATAGCACTTCTCAGAGCTGTAATTATTGAATGTCTGCCTTCCCCCTAAATTGTAAGCTCGGTGAGGGCGGGAGCCTTGTCTGTCCTGCTCACCATTTTCTTTTGGGGAATTTGTGCAGTGCCTGGCGCGTGGGAAGAGCTCATTAAAAATTGGTTGGTTGAGGGCACATGGGCGGCTCAGTTGGTTAAGTGTCTGATTTCGGTTCAGGTCATGATCCCAGGGTTCCTGAATAGAGCCCTGCATCGGGCTCCCTGCTCAGCGGGGAGTAGACTTCTCCCTCTCCCTCTGCCCCTCCTCCCCACTCGTGCTCTCTCTTTCTCAAAAAAATAAATAAAAATCTTTTAAAAATGTTTTAACAAAGTTGATTGCTTGAGGGGCACCTGGGTGGCTCAGTTGGTTAGGCGTCAGACTCTTGATCTCGGCTCAGGTCTTGATCTTAGGATGGTGAGTTTAGGCCCCGCACTGGGCTCCGTGCTGGGCGTGGAACCTACTTAAAAATTGGTTGGTTGAAGAATGAATGAATGAACGTCCCTGCCAGCTCTGCAGCTCTTTAGCCCCGGCACTGTGTTCCCACCTTCTGTGGGGCTCTAACATAGTGGTGTTGACCTACTGACCTCACTGTTAGGCAAGCCAGGAGGGCAAATCTGTCTCCTGAAGACTCGGAATGTGGTCACTCGTGAAGCCAAATCCAAGACTTCGTTTATGTTATTCATGCCTCTTGCCTCCTTCATTAGTGATTCAGTACTCCAAGTAGCTACTGGGCACCTACTGTATACCTGGCCCTGTCCTAGATGCCGCTGGTCTAAAGGCACTCATCTGCCCAGACTTGGTCTGGGCTCTTTAAGAGCTTGCATATAAACAACCCATTCTTCTGCGCTTCAGCCCATGCTGAGTGCCTGGGAGGACCAAGGAAAGAGCAATTGAGCACTGATTGTCCTGTGGAAATTTAGTGGGGGAAAGAGGAGGGGGGGCAGATTGTGCAACAGGGTAATCCGATTAGTGGTGGTGCTGGAGTGCCTTTTCTGATGGAAGGATGACTATCACAGACGGCCGCCCATGTTGTGGGGAGCACTTGGGGGAGGGCTCTCTTGTCCATCAAGTGGCCAGGCGGGGGTGCTGCATGCTGGAGTGGCAGGCTCACGAGCACCCCTAATCCACCTTCCGCCACAGTAGCTCTCAAATTCTCAGGTCTCTGAACCACCTGGGAACTTCTGGAACAGGCAGAACTTCCTTCCTCCTACCCAGCCCTGTAGATTCGGGCTGAGTGGGTCAGGTATGGGGGCTAGCCATCTGCATGTTTAATAAACACCCCCCCCCCCCCCGCATCGTTCTGAGGCAGGCATTCCCAAGAGTACACTCAGAGGGACGCTGGTCCGGTGCACTGACAGGTGGCCAATGCAAATGGGAACTTAGGTGGAAGCCCAGGACGCGCAAGGGCATCCTGAGGACTCCAGATGCGTCACTGATTGACAAGGGGGAGGGAGTGGGTTTGCAAGTGAGTGGCAGAGTCCAGGTAGGGGTGGGGATCACCCATGTGAGAATGGAGTCCTGAGCCCATGACAAGAGTCCTCAGAGCCTTGGTGGCCATCCGTTCCCAAGTCTTTCCCTCCCCACTCCAGACCAGAGGTCTCTTGTGTACCCAGAAGGGGGTTTCCTACAGGTGCATCCAGGAACAGCAGATTTCCCAGGTTCCTCCATGCCTCCAAATGGGTAGTGCTGAAAATAAGCACCCTGGGAGCCAGAGGACTAGCCTATGGGTGAGAGGGAGCCACAGAAGGAGAGGGGATGACACGAATGCACAAAGCACATCATTTCTTTATTCCGCAAACATGTGCTGAGGGTCAGGCTAAGCGCTGTGAGGTTTGCTGGTGCCACCAGCTGTCCAGCCGCCAAAGCCTGAATCCAGAGTGTCATCCTGGACTCTTCCGCCTTTCTCACTTATCCCCTCCGGGCAATCTGTTTCCCTGAACCTCACTGATTCGACCTCCTGCCTGTCTGTTGACACCAGCCCTCCTCCCTGGCCTCTCTGCCCCTCCAGAACTCACTGATTCTTGCCTGGACCTCTGCAGAAGTTTCTTCACTGCTCTGGCCACACCTAGGCTTGCCTCACCCCGATCCGTTTCCCACACTGTGGCCAGACTGATGATGGCCTCTTATTTTTAAACAGCTTTATCATGGTATAGTTTGCGTAACATAAAACTCACCTATTTTAAGTGCACAATTCAATGATTTTTGAATATTCATGGAGTTGTGTAACCGTTGCCACAATCCAATTTTAGAACCTTTCCATCACCCTGAAAAGGTCCCTCGTGCCCATTAGCAATCACTTCCTGTCCCCACCCCCAGTCTCCGACAACCACTAATCTACTTTCTGTCTCTATGGATTTGCCTTTTCTGGGCATTTCATATAAATGGAATCATGCAATGTGTGGTCTCTTGTGTTTGGCTTTGATCGCCTCTCTTAACACAGAAGTCTGCTCAGTTAAAACCTTGAGGGGCTCCTGGGTGGCTCAGTCGTTTAAGCGTCTGCCTTCGGCTCTGGTCATGATCCCAGGGTCCTGGGATCGAGCCCCGCGTCGGGCTCCCTGCTCGGCGGGGGGCCTGTTTCTCCCTCTCCCTCTGCCCCTGCTTGTGTTCCCGCTCTTGCTGTCTCTCTCTCTCTCTGTTTGTCAAGTAAATAAATAAAATCTTAAAAAAAAAAACAAAACCCTTGAAGGCCATGATAACTGGCTGATGGATGTGTTAACTAACCTTACTCTGGTCCTCATTTCACAATATATATATATATATATGTATCAAATCATCACACTGGGTACCTTCAATGCACACAACATTGTATGTCAACATTCCCTGTCAAACCCTCTTGAATGGCTCCCCATCAGTCATCCACCATCCAAACATCTCCTGTGACTGTTCAAGGTCTTTCTTGCCGGACCCTGCTTTGGAACTTCCTATGGTTCCCGAAGACACACCATGGTCTTTCTTGCCTCCACGCCTGTGTACCTGTGATTCCCCCACCAGGAATACCTTCTGCCTCCCCCGAAGGAGGTGTAACCTCTGCTAGAATGTATCCAACATCCCATTTCCCAAATTCTTTTTCTAAAATTTTATTTATTTGAGAGAGAGAGCGCCAGGGGGAAGGGCAGAGGGAGAGGGAGAAGCAGACTCCCTGCTGAGCATGGAGCCTGATGTGGGGCTCAATCCCAGGACCTCTGGATTATGATCTGAGCGGAAGGCAGATGCTTAACCCACTGAGCCACCCAGGCCCCCCCCCCACCGTTTCCCAAATTCTGTTCATCCCTTCCACCTCTGAAAGCACGTCACACCCTGTACATGCTTTATTCATTGCACAACTCACGTTGTGCTGTAAGTACCCATACACACTGGAACTCCCTAGCTAGACTGTGAGTTCCGTGAGGGCATTGGAAACAGATATCCTTACCTTAGAAACAGATCCTGGCTCAGAATGGGTGCTCAATAAATGTGTGTTCAACCAATCAGAACTACGCGAGGTTCAGTCCAAAAAACTGCCCTTTAGGAGCCCCTCTGTCTGGTGAGAGAGTAAACGAACCATTGATCAGCCAACCTACGTTGACCGAGGCCCCACAACCCAATGGTGGGAGGAGGGAGAAAACGAAAAGGATCAGGCATCATGCCTCATGGGACAGTGGGGAAGACATGCTCTGCACAGATCAGCAGGTTGTCCTACGAAACATGACACCCCCAGATGTTAGGTGGTGCAATGGTGGGATGTGTCATGAGCCCAGAAAAGAAGGGAGTGACTGCTCTTGGGACACCAAGAGAAAGAGTCATGGAGGAAATTGAGGGCGGGCAAGGATTGGGACAGAGGTGGAAAATGTAAATCGCATATTGTTTTGCTTTGTTTTTTAAGTAGGCTCGATGCTCAGCTCACGACCCTGAGATCAAGACCTGAGCTGAGATCAAGAGTCAGACGCTTAACCGGCTGAGCTACCTGGGTGCCCCTGGAAATAGCATTATTGGATGGCAGTTGAGAGAATGGATGCTGGTGACTCCTTCCAGGAGATGGTAAGGACCTGGAGTACAGCTATTATCAGGAAGAATGGATACACAGCTGGAGTAGGGTTTCCAGATTTAGCAAAAAAAATTCAGGGTACAGTGCAAGAGACATACTTAAACTCAAATACTATTTGTTGGATATTTGAAGTTCACATCTAGCCAGGCATCCCTGCATTTTCTCTGGTATCTGCCCACTGGTGGAGAGCAAGTTTGAGCCAAACCACAAAGGCCTTGAATGCTGAGCCAGAATGTTTACCCTCTGCCCTGAGGGTAATGAGGAGCCACTGAAGGGGTTTAACTTGAGGACTGACATAATCTCCTATGCCTTTTAGAAAGATGGCTCAGGTTGTGGCAAGGAGAGTGGAATGGGGGGGGGGGGGTTGGGGGGCGGCTAGAGGCTGTGACAACAATTCGGGGGACAGAGGATCAAGGCCTGAGTCAGGGCAGAGGCGGTGAGCATAGAGAAGAGGGTAGAGTCCAGGAGCAACCCAGCTCCAGTCAGATGATGCTACATTAATTCTAAGTACACATTGAGGGGTAAGGCATGGGGGTTGCGACCAAACGTCCAGGGCCAGTGGGAGAAGCAGCCTCCAAGTGGGGGGCAGGGCAGAGCAGCCTGTGACCTCTCCCACTGCCTCCTGCCACCCGAGGGAAGAAAGGGAGGCGTGCACTGGTGAAGCTTAGTTGGGGCAGTTGGAGTGGCTGCTATAGGAGAAACCGCTCCCAGTCTCTCCCTGGCTGGTCAGTCCTGTACACTTCCCTTTCCCCTTGGGCTCCGGCGCCCGTCCAGAGCACACAGTGTTCTCCCAAATAGATGCATGTGTTCTGCCCTGGGTGATTCACTGTCCCTGGCTAGAAGGGCCTGCCTGCTGGGGCAGCGACCAGGCAACCCCTAAGAACATTCCAAAGAGCCCCCTGTGCAAACCCTCACAGAAAGGTTCACACCAGGGCAAACAACAGGTGTCTAAACAGTGCTGCCTTTTCTGGGGCGACTTTTAGCACAGCTGATGAAAGAGATGCCCCACCTTAGCTCTCCTGGCCAGAAACATCTAGAACATTCTCCTAGCTCAAGCCTAGCGCTCCTTGGGGATTCGAGAGCCAAGAAGGCAGAGCCTGCTTCTGTGTGCTGATTCGTTCCCCTCTAGCCCAAGACACTTGCGCCAACAGCAAGTCCCACCCCTATCCCATGATCCTCGTGGCTGCATGTGGATCTGCACATGGCTCAGGTAGGGACCAGAGGCTAACAGCAGGGAAGGGCTCTTCTCCACAGGCTGCAAAGTTGGGCACAGAGGATGGGGTGAGAATTTTCCCATGATCCCTGCTGTCTTTCCCAGGCTCTGTGGGATGCAGTGGTCCCTCTGGGGCCTGGGGTGGAGTTGCCAGAACCTTCCTTGGTAACCTCAGAGGCCTTTATGCTATCAGTGGGGAGGCTGCCTAGCTAAGGGCAGTGGTTCTACACTCAGATGGAGCTGAGTTCTCAGCCTCACTCCTCCCTCTTACTAGCTGTGGACCTTGGACAAGTTACTCAACGTTCTCTGAGCCTGAATTTCCACTCCCAACGTGTAAAATGGTGGTAATTAGGGCACTTGGGAGAGGGCTAAATGAGATTATCCATGTAAAGCATTTAGCTTTGTGTCTGGCACCTAGAAACCATTCGGTACATGTTAACTTGTATAATTATGCCCCTTGGATTATATGCCCTCTCTGTTCTCCCTGGCCCCTCATCAGATTTTTTTCCCCAAGGTCACAGCCCAGGACCGTCCCTTCAGGCCAACATTGCCTGGTGACACCCCCCCCCCCCCAAAGGATCCTTCTCTGAGGAACTCAGTCCTTGCTCCACAGATGGTGGTACTCCCGGGGCCTCTCATCCTAATTCAGAGCCACTTGCCCTCTACACCTCAGCCCTTTGCCTTTTATCTCCTGTGTCATTGTTAGAGCCAGAGGGCAAAGGGCAGGGGCGGAGCGCAGGCTGGCTAGGCCTGGTGGGGCTGGGGAGATGCTGACAATCTGTCCTGTCAGCTCTTTTTCCGTGTGGGGAGGCAGCGGCCGCCAAGGAACAGAGCTTTCTGAGAATAGACAACCCTGCTCCTGTCCAAAGCTGGCCTGCCCTGGGGACACAGCCCACCCCCCCACCCCCCACACCCCCACCCCCCGCAGCAGCAGGCTCTCTGATCTCTTGGGTGGAAGGCACAAGAAGCTCAAAGAACTCAAAAGATCACCTCCTACATGGCCTTGCCTGCAGCGCCTCAGCCCAGCCCGGCGCTGTCATCCTCCATTGCTCTGTTGCAGGCACCCGTGTGCCCCGATTCACACCGTACACAGAAAAGGCAAGGGGACCAAGCTAGTCTTGAAAGGAGAACGGGGCCCTGGAGAGCCGAGTAGTGAGGCATCTGTTTGTTCTCCGAACTCCAAGAGGCCCCCAAAGGCACTTGGGCGCCCCGGCGCCTCCAAGGAATTATAAAGAGCGAGTGTGAAAGTGTCCCCGGTGCTAGATCAATTAGGAGCGCCTCAGCAATCAAGCCTTCCTTTACACCAGCTTTTCCCGCACCTTCTAGGCAGAATCTCATTAAACCCTCTCCAATCGCTAGGGGGAAAAAAGGCAAGCAAGCCCTTGAGGAAAAAAAGGACACGAATAGCCACATTCAAGCGGACTGCAGAGGGCAAGTAAGTGGAGAGGGGGGGGAAACAAAGATGTGATGCTTAAAACATCTGGGAAGTGGTATCAGTCCTATAAAAGCAAGGCTGGCTGGGGGGGGGGAGGCCTTTCCATTGGCCTTGCCCAGCTGCCTTCCTCCCACTCAGAACGAAATGTTCTGTCTTTCTGCGGTTATAACCTCTTTCCACTTGGAATGCCTTGCCCGCGTCTGGACCTCGCTCAGGACTGCCGCTCAGTGAGGCTCGCACGCAAGCGCGGATTACCCAGGGAGCCTCGGGGGAAGGGCCCCGCCCCGTGCCCGCCCACTTTCTGCCCCGCCCTCACTCCTCGCTCCTCCGCCCACTAGGGGGCGGGGCGCCGCCGTGGGCTCTCGGGCGGCTTCCCAGCCCCGGCAGACTGGGCGCGCGCGCCTCTACTCACCCTCCCCTGCGAGCACATGTTTTCCCACGCGCTGCTGCCCGGGGAAGCGGGGAGCGGGCGGGCATGTGGGCTGCCATGCGGACGCCAGACAAGGGCGTGGCGGGGAGGCCGGCCCTGGCGGCGGCGGCGGCCGGGCAGCCCTGCCTGGGCTCCCGGGGAGTCCCGGTTTGCTTACCGGAGGCCCCTGGGAGGATCGGAGTTCTTTAGATTTTCCAAAAGCCTCCGACAAATGCCGTCACCCCAGCTCGCCCCGGGAAACAGAACCACAGTCACCGGCCAGGGACCTGGGGAGGGGTGGGGGGGGAAAAGTTTGGGCTCCAGAAACCCAGAACTCCGGTGGGATTAAGGCGGGAGGGGGCGTGGCGCAGGGCCAGGCCGACCGGGCCGGGACTGAGAAGCCAAACTTGGGTGGCGGGGGAGAGGGTGGTTGGAGCCGAGCCGGGGTCAGATGCCTCGGGCGCACCCAGGCGCAGGTAACCGGAAAGGGGAAAGTGGCCAGGATGTAAGACAGTTGGTCCTCAGGTTTGGCTGCAAAGTAGAATCACCTGGGGGAGCTTCAGAAATCCTAATGCCCAGGGCCTCATCCCAGATTCCTGTTATAAGAATGGGGGAGGGGGGGCGGGTGAGGGTGGGATCCAGGCATGGGTAGTTTTAAAAACTCCCGAGGTGGTTCCAGTGTGCAGCAGAGGTTGTGAACCAGCGGTTGCACGGGTGGCACAGAGCTGGTCCCAGGACCAGCAAGTGTGGCAAGAACCTGGGTGCTTGTTAGAAATGTAGAATCTCCAGTCCCACCTCAGCCCTCGGGAATGAGCATCTGCATTTTTTAAAGGAACAGCTTTCTTAAGGTATACTTCACAGACCACGGAATTTACCCTTGTGAAGCGTACAATTCAGTGGTTTTTAACAATTTTGTGCAACTACCACCTCTATCTACCTGGTTTCATTTCCATCACCCCCAAAAGAAACCCCATGCCCATTAGCAGTATGAGTCCACATTCCCTCCTCCCTCCAGCTGTAGGCAACCACTACTTTCTGTCTCCCTGGATTTGACCATTCTGGATATTAGCGTCTGCCTTGGAACAGATTTCTTCAGCACGTGACAGTTTGAAGAGCACCAGCGTGAGAGACCTCCTAAGAGAAGCAGCCTTCCCTCCCCTCCCACACTTGTTGTCACGCAGACCTGTGGGGCCAGAGTTGCTAGATTTTTCTGCTTTTTCAAGAAACGCCAAAACTCTGGATTTTTATGTGAAATCTTCCACTTTTAAAAAAGGTTGGCAACTAATTCAGAATTTTGGAAAACACTGTTGGGGCCAAACAAATCCTGCCTAACAGCCTGTCAGCTGCCACTTTAGCCACTTCTGATGGTCACCAGGTTCTTACCCACCGCCACCCATATCCTTCCTACTCCAGCCACAGTCCATTTCTCCTTGTTCCAGTTTCCATGGAACAACCATTTAGTAGCCTCCTCATAAAATCTTCTCACATACTATTCTTCCCTTCCTCCAAACTGACAACTACGCATTTATTGAGGACCTACTGTGTGTTTGGTACTTTACACTTTCTGGAATCATTTAAATCTTCACAACAGTCTTTTGTTTTTTTAAGTAGGCTCCACGCCCAGCGCATAGCCCAATGCGGGGCTCGAACTCAACGACCCTGAGATCAAAACCGGAGCTGAGATCAAGAGTTGGCCGCCTAACTGACTAAGCCACCCAGGTGCCCCCTTCACGACAGTCTATGGCAGATACTATTATCCTAGTTTTAAAGACCAGGAAACTGGAGCTCAGAGAGGTTACGTAGCTTTCCTGATGCTGTACCATCACTCAGGGTCCAGCTGCTGGACGTTTGTACCTGAGCCCTGTCTACCTCCTCGTGCTGCTTCTGCTTTCCCGATATTGGCCCCAATTTTTCATCTCTTTCTTCCTCTTCTGAACCTTCTCCATTTGCCCCCTATTCTGGACACAGCTCTCTGAGGACGATTAGATTAAAGAGAGCACGGTCTCAGTGAGCCTAGGACCTCGGTCTGCTGGGGAGAGTCTCAGTTGCAAATACTCAGGCTTGTTTCCCCATAAGTACACTCATTCTTGTCAAATTTGTGCCCTGATCTTTGGCTTGGAAAATGTGGCCAACATAAGTGAGCCATGCTCTATTTTGAGGCTGATTCATATTCAACTTGTGGTCAACTCCCTCCTTCGCTTGGTGTTGTTCTTGTTTATTTGTGTGGAGCTAAATTATGTTGTTAGGTTTTGTCACTAACAACCCCCTTGCACTTGTCGCTGCTGAATCTCATCCTGGTTTCACAGGACCTTCTTTCCCCAACCTGTCCGACTGGAAGTCCTCCCCCCCACCCCCCGCTGGCTGTGGGTTTGGCCCCCTCCCAATCTTTCATTTTCAAGTCACTTCAGGCTTCAGGGAACCATCTCCACCTTCCCCACATGTCCCATCTGCCTCGCTCCCTTCACTGCTCTGGAAATCCTAGGTAGGCCTCCTGCAGGATGGTGCAGACAGGTGGGGGGAGGCAGAATCCATCCCCCAAAATTGGTGGGGGGTGGGGAGGAGGAGGGTTTGGCTGTGGCCGGGAACGTCCCCTCCTGGTGGCCTTGGGCCAGAAGCTCTATCCTGTGCCAGCTCCAGACCTAATCTGGCACCAGGAGTGGGGGGGTCAGGGGTCCGTGGACCTCTCTTCAGATCAGAGAGATCCTCAGTCCTGGGAGCCCCTCTGGTCAGTCCTGACCCCTTGGGACATCCCATTGTCTTGAGTGCGGTGGAACCCCAGGCCGGTTGCTAGGCACGGGGTGCACTCAAACAATGTAGTGTGACAGTTTCCGCAGCCCGCCCCAGGGGCCTCCCCAGCCCACAAGGGTGTGGATTGCAGTCTGGGTACATTCTGTACCCTCAATCCGGGGGCGGGTTTGTGGTTCCTGGTGCTGCAAAGCACGGCCCCGCCCAGGCCTTTCCTCTCCAGCTACAAAAACAAAGCTTCCACACCAAGAGGGGAGGAATTGAAACAGAGGCTGGTACTGTATAGCTGGTCCCCGAAGACTCCGAAGACTCCGAAGACCCCGGGGCGGACCTGCCCCCTTCCCTTCCCTGAAGGCCTCCCACCCGTGGAAGGCCAACAGTGGCGCTGGCCCTCTACCACTCGTTCTTCGCTTCCCTCCCCCTATGCCTCACTGAATGGCTGCCTGAGCGACTGAACAACCGCCTGGGGGGCGGGGGGTGCAGGACAGAACTCTCTGGGGACTGGCTGCCACTGTCTTCCCTAGAGACCCCAAACCGTGGCTTTCCGTTCTCTGGCGGGGCTCCGTGGCTCCACGTTCTTCTGACTGCCGAGGGTCCCCGGGCTTTGGTATTACCGTTATCATCATCATCATTATTGTTACTACTATAATTATTATTAGCTAGCCCCACTCACAGGCCCATGTGGTCCTGCGTGCTTTCAAACTGCTCTGTGTAATCAATCATCACAGCCCCTTTGGGGAGAGATTAGGAGCCGGTATCTCTTTCACACGCACTCTGAGCCGGCACTGGGGCAAGCACTCGGCGCATCTCGTCTAGTCCCCGCGACACTTTGATAGTCCCCGTGCTGTTGTTAATCACATTGTAAAGACAAGGGGACGGCGGCCCAGAGAGGTCCAATACCGTGCCCAGGGGTAGAATGGGGAACCGAACCCTGATCCTTTCGCTGGCCTGGGCCGCCTACACCCCCCCGCCCAGGACAATTCTGAGGACGGGACAGGTAGCGCCTCTGACAAGCCTCTCCACTGGAGAGCCAACTAGCTCGGGCCTCCGAGGGGAGGGAGCGTCCCCTGGAGAAGCTGGGAGAGGCAGGTGTGACCTCTGCTCAGTTGCAGGGATTCCCCAGGACTCCCTGCGAGTCCGACCACACCCAGCTGCCGCCTCTGCAGGCACGGTCCGCTGGGGAGCGGGGTAGGTGAGCGAGCGAGGGGGTGAGTGCGCGCGCGCAGGCGCGCACACGCAGACGGGAGTGGGGGTGGGGCGGGGCTGGCGGGGGAGGGGGAGGAGGGGACTGAAGAAACTCACCGTCCCAGAGCTCTCTGGCTCCCTCTTCAGGCAACGGGCGCTCACCGCCGCTGCTCTCCCAGGGACCAGTTTCTGCCACCCTCTCTGTTCAGGGATCTCAAAACCCACCACCCTTCCCTGTGGGCTGCAAGCTCTGTGGACCAGGCTGCTCCTGAGTCTGTTTTCATTTCATTCTCTTTTATTTTTATTTTTATTTTACCATTTTAACCGTTTTTAAGTGCACAGTTCGGTGGCGGGAAGTCCACACACGTTGCTGTGCTACCATTGGCACTGTCCATCTCTAGAACTTTTCCATCATCCCAACTGAGACTCTGTACCCAGTGAACAGGGACTCCCCATTCCTTCCTGCCTTCAGCCCCTGGTAAGCACCATGCCATTTTCTGTCTCCAGGAATTTGACTCTTCTCCATACCTCACGTAAATGGAATCTTACAGTATTTGTCCTTTTGTGTCCGGGCTTCTTTGACTCAGCGTAATGTCGTCATGATGAGTTCATCCATGTTGTGGCATGTGTCAGAATTCCATTCTTTTTTTAAATTTATTTATTTTTATTTTTTTATTTAAATTCAATTAGCCAACATATAATACAGCGTTCGTTTTTGGTGTAGTGTTCAGCGATTCATCAGTTGCGTATAACACCCAGTGCTCATCCCAACACGTGCCCTCCTTAATGCCCATCACCCTGTTACCCCATCCCCCTGCCAACTTCCCTTTCCGTAACCCTCAGTTTGTTTCCCGGAGTCAAGAGTCTCTTGTGGTTCGTCTCCCTCTCTGATTTCTTCTCAGAATTCCATTCTTTTTTAAGGCTGAGTGAAACTCCACTGGATGTGTACACCACATTTTGTCTATCCATTCATCCTCTGAGAGACATTTGGATTTCCACCTTTTCGGCCATTGTGAATAATGCGGCGAACATGCATGTACAAGAATCTGTCTCAGTGCACGGGTCAGCACCTCTAGGAAAAGTTCCTCACTTGCCCCCACTCTGTTGCCAACGGTCCCCAGCACCAACTCTGGTGAACCTCTCTGGGCTTCACTGTCTATTTCTGCCCTGTGTAGTTATGGTCTTATTCTCTCTCCTTGAGGGTGTTGTGTGAGTCTCTGGCTACCATCTTTGTCAGCTCCCTGAGGAACGGAACCACAGCTCAATTGCCTTTGTACAACCAATGGGGGACAGCGTCGTGCAGCGGTTAAAGGCATGGGCCCCGAAACAAGACTGAATCCTGGCTTGCTCCTGTGTAACCTCAGGCAAGCTACTTGGCCTCACCGTGCCTCAGTTTCTCCATCTGCAAAACGAGAGCAGTGATAGTAGTATCCATCTCAAGAGATTATGAGGAACTGAGGAACTAAATGATACCATATACAGGGGCACGCCTGGGTGGCTCAGTCGGTTAACCATCTGACTCTTGATTTCAGCCCAGGTCATGATTTCAGAGTCTTGGGATCGAGCCCCACCTTGGGCTCCACGCTCAGTGCAGAGTCTGTTTGTCCCTCTCCCTCTGCTCCCCCCCCCCCCGTGTTCTTTCTCTCTCTCTCAAATAAATAAATAAAATCCTTTAAAAAGATAAATGATACCATATACAGAAAATCATCAGTACAATCCCTGGTACACAGTAAATGCTAAATAAATAGGAGCTGTTATTTTTACATCCCCTTTTTCCCCCTCACGACCTTTTTGTAAACAAAACGAAACAAAACAAAACATCAAGGAGCTTAGTGGGAGCCACCTCAGTCTGTTTTCCAGGGAGGGTTTGTGTTGAATTTATAGACTTCCCTCTCCACCATCCCCCACCCCTTTCCCTGTGTTGATAGTCTGCTCAGGCTGGCGCCCCTCCACTAGTGTGAAATGCTTTTGTGAAGTTAGTGTAAGCAATACAGAGACTACAGAAATTGTTCTCTTCACTCCTGCAGCCCAGCACATTGTAGCCATTGTGCGCTCGATAACCTGGAGGTCCTGTGGGGCTCCCACTCAGGCCAGATATGGCTCAGGAAAGCTGCCAACTGCAGCTGGCTTTCAGAAACCTCTTTCCCCCCCTCAGGAACCTGTGACAGAGGGGACACATTGTTTATGGCTTCCAGGCTAGGAGAGAAGAAATTAAGCCACCAGGCTCAGTTTATTTCATGCTTATCAGTAAAGATAGCCCTATCTAGTTAGTCCCGTTGCTTCAAGCGACATATTAATAGGGTCTATTAATAGAGTCCAAACCATCACTTGAGTCTACCCGGCCATTCTCCAAACATTGATTGGGCACCTGTTACAAACCAGGCACTGTGGCATCCAGAGATAAGCAGAGTAAGATCCCTGCCCTTGAGGCACCCAGGCCAAGAGCAAGCAACACTTAGAGTGCTCTGAGAGAGCTTGAAGAAGACCCCCCTAGGACCTCCTGGAGGAGCCAAGCCAGACTTCACAGAGACAGTGCTGACTTTTGCGTTGCCTCTTAAAAAGTAAGTTTGTCAGACTGAGAGGCATGGCAGGGAGGCGAGCACGTTCCCCCAGGGGACAAGACATCTGTGCATCGAGCACCGAAACTGCTGCGGGTGCCCAAGGACATGCTGCCAGTGGGCTGTGGCTGAAGCATAGAGACCAAGGTGGGGCGGCGGTCAGACCTGTGACGGGCAGGGGAGCAGGGCCCAGAGCACGGAGAGGTACTGTCTTATTGTTGGTGTTGTCTCTGTGTTGTAAGAGGGTGGGCTTTATCCTGCAGGTTTTCCAACTGTGGTTCCTGGAGTAGTAAAGCCCCACAGAGTGGCTTCCATGGGGTTAAGCCAGCGGCTGCTAGGGGGTGAGAAGGGAGGACAGTGGGAGGAGGACGCCAGGTGGCCAGAGCTGTTGGAGCTCTGCCCTCTCCAGCTAGAGTCGTTCCACATTGACTTGTGTTAAAAAGTTTGGTTTGTTGGTTTGTGGGTTTCAAAAATGATTTTTAAAGCACCACTTATTTATTTAAAAAAAATTTTTTTTTTTTAGGGAGTGAGGGAGGAGGGAGGAGCAGAGGGAGAGAGAGCA